AGAGTTTCACATAGAAGTGGACAAAACAGTAGAAAATGTAAAGGAAATATAGCATTTATAACAGATACACATCCCACTAGACGGTGTAGCCTTTCAGCTAGGGCTGCTCGATTATGGCAAAAATCATAATCTCGATTATTCGGGTCAATAATGGATATCAGGATTATTAAAAACGATTATCCATTTACTTTGAAAACATCCATTTATTGAAGAAAATGTGAACAGTATGTTTTTAACAGTTGATTACCGTGAACTTTATGAATAATTCAACTGAAAAACCAATAAATATATTAAAACAATTTTTTTTTTTTAAAAACGTTTTATTTCGATAATGTTTTCATAATCGTTGCAAGCCAAAATCGTAATTGCGATTAAAATACGATTAATTGAGCAGCCCTACTTTCAGCTATAGCTAACATTAGGAGTTCTCGCTTTTGCTTTCCTTTAGCCCTTCTCGATTAGTTTGACAAGGTCTTTCATCGCCGGGTTATGGTCTCATAATAACAGATTGCAAAGAGCCATAAAGCTCCCGTAACACTGAGACCTGTGCTCCGTTTGCAGGATTGTTTATACTCCGAAAGTTAACAGTTTGTGGTCAATCATTGTTTTACATCAAGGTCAATGAACTGATAGTGTTTTATTGCCAGCAAATCCCAATATCACAGAAGCAGCCGGCGGGAATACAGATCACACCGCTCTAATAAAACCTTATCATCTGTGTGTTTGAATGTACACACCTGTAGTTGCCCTTCTTGCGGAGCTGCTCCTTGAAGTGTCCCAGGGTGAGAGAGTGGCTGTTCATGTTCCTCCGGTAGGGGATCTCCTCACCACAGAAGAAATACGTCACCACTGTCTCGCCTCCTAAACTCTTCTTACACTCCTTTGTCCTATAAGTAGAAGAGAGGAAAGCTGTGTTAGAAGAAGGGGGAAACACTCGTGATACTTAACAAGATAATGATCCAAAGAGAAACGCAGCAAAGCATCGCAGGACCTTCAGCAGGAGATACAGTTACAGCACCCTGACTGAAGGGAAACACTGGGTGAGTGGGTGACCTAGTGCCATCAGTTAGTGTGTACTTATGTGTTGTGGTTGTGTGTGAGCATGCAGAAGGGGCACAGATTGATCAATTCCCCTTCAGCTATGTCCAAGGCTTTGTAGGCCCACTTCAGACGAGCTCTCGTTGCAAAGCTCTGCACACCCCAGCCGACTGCCAGCTCACTGAAGGACAGCCAATAAAAATGATACATATATATGAAAGGGATGTCTCAGTCAGGTGGTGCAGTGACTACACACTCCCCACGCACACAAGATTCATGCAAACAGAGGCAGAGCCAGGCATCTGTGTACAAAGCTTAAAATAAGCTTCTTTAAAAAAAAAAAAGGGGGTCACCTTGTCTTTACAGTGACTGTATGTGGGCGTGTGCACGTGTGTGATGTGAAGACTACTCGTCAGTCGGCCTACATGTGCGGTGAGCAGCGCGGGTGCAGGAAGAGTTAAAAAGGGTAGAAGTACACTGCAAGGTGGAGGTTATGGCTGAGAGGAGGAGGAAGAGGATCAGAGAGGAGGAGAGGAGAGGGAAGGCAGGACGCTAGAGGCATCGTACTCTTCTGATTGGAGGCCGGGGCCGGCTGGGAGTTGGCTCGCAGGGCTGGGATTGGCTTGAGACAGAGGGACGGAGACCTCTCCCTGGACAGGCACTAGGTGGCTCTTCTCTTGCTGGAGGCTGGATGTTGAATGCCTAGAAAGAGAGATGAGTGTTATTATTACTAGGATTAATAACGCCGCATACCTTTTTGAAAACCCATGACATCAATCTACAAATCCTAACCAAGGATACAAGCGGACCAAAGCTAAGAGAAGCATTCAACAGCTTCCCACTAGGCCGTGTGTACCTTTGCTTGGTGGTCTTGGTGGAGACCTCCTCCAGTCTGCGGCAGGCCTCCTCCAGCTGGGCCAGAGTGTTGGGAGGGGGCAGGGGGGGCATGGCAGGGTCCTGGATGAATGGCTGGGCTGGCTGGTGGCTCCGTAGGTGGCCGCAGCTTCCGCCACCGCCCCACGTGTGCGTCTGTGCAGAGGAGGGATTCTTGGGGCTCTGCGTGCTGCAAGGGGGAAGAGAAATAAGAACGCGTTAACAACATGCAATGGTGGCACTTTATTTTAGATTGAAAAAAACAAAGCACTCTGCTGGTGACTGCTTACCTGTGGGATTTCTGCCTGCCTTGCCGTTTACTTTCCAGGATCCACTGCAGCACGTTCTGGGAGGGGTCTGCCGTGTCGCTGGGCAGCTGCGAGGGGCCACAGTCCTCCACACACCCTTCTGATCCTCCATCCTCGGCGACTGAGCGACACACACGTCTGGACAGAGAGCTGGAACGTCTGAGGAGGGGACGGAGAGAATTAGTATTTGTATTTTTTCTTAAATCTGACACAAGAAAGCAGGAAAATAAATGAGATCATGATGATGATGATGATGATGAAGGGGGGGCTTTGAACTGACCCCACGCTGCTGTCTGCTGAGGCGGCCCCACACATCTCTCGGCCCAGGCTGCGGCTGCGTTGGCCCTCCCCGCTGCCGGAGCACAGGCCGTGCACCCTGAGGGCCGCCTCCCTCTCAATCTGCTCCGTGGTCTTGGGACTGCCGTGGTGGTGGATGTAGTGGTGGTGGATGTGTTTGGTGCTCTGCCTGCTTACGAGGGTCCTGCCGGGGCCCACGGACAGAGTGGCGGCCCCTTGGTCAGGAGTGGAGGGCCCGGTCCTCACCTGAGCCTTGACCCCAAAGCCGGCCCGTGTGAGGGGCCCGCGCTCCGGGGACCTGGAGCGAGGCGAGTGGCGGGCGACAGCGGGAGACTGGCAGCCGGGGGTCCTCAGGACGCGGGACAGGTGTTCGTCCAGAATGGCCTGGGGGTCCTCATCGGAGGAGCCAGGGAGGAGGGTGAGGGGGTGGGGGGAGAGCTGGCGAGCACTTCCCATGAACTCTGTGTCGTCTTTCTCCTCCTCCTTATAACAAATGATACATAATGATCAGATGAGGAGGACAAACACCAAACACTTGAGTTTTTCTAGTTCAAAAAAGTAAACAAACCTCCTGAATCTGCTGCAGCTTCTCCTCCAGAGAGTTGAGCGTGTCCTGCTTCCTCTTCAGGCTCTCCAGGCGGGAGATGAGCTGGGCTGCAAACGCTGACGGCTCCATCGGCACCATCTCCTTGGGGGGACGGCGGGTACGCTACGTGGAGAAGAAGATACATTAGCCATTGTTTCATCACGCCCCGGCTTCCACACAGATCCACACTTCTCCGCCCTCATCTGTCTACATGAACACCATTGGTGGTACTGATCAGGCCCCTCTCGCGGGTACCCAGGGCTACGGGGTTGTTTCAAGGGGTGGCCGGCTGGGCTAGGCCTCGGCTGGTTCCCACTGTCATCATCAGCAGGCCTCTTTAAAGTCAGCGCACTTCAAAGCCTCCCTCGTCAAATATCAAAC